GATGCGTCAGACGCGACGCGAAAGACGAGCTGATGCAGAAATCACCAGAGAGCTAAACGTTCTCTCGTCGCTACTTCGACCCCCTCAGAACGGAACCAGGAGGCATTGACATAAGCGCACTAACGGTGATCGCCCTGTAAAGACAGACGCCCAAGGGCTCCCATGAGCGGATCAAGTGTGTTTTCGCCTAGATATAAAGACGAGAGAGAGCAACGATCTCGAGATACAGAAATTCTTGTGCCCCCCCCCCCCCCCCCTCTCTCCCTTTTTTTTTTTTCTGAGAAAATAGAGGGAGAAACCGTGGAGGCCGTGACAGACTTTGTATTTCTAGGTGCAAAGATTACTGCAGATGCAGACTGTAGCCAGGAAATCAGAAGACGCTTACTTCTTGGGAGGAGAGCAATGTCCAATCTCGATAAAATAGTAAAGAGTAGAGACATCAGAATGGCAACAAAGATCCGCCTAGTCAAAGCCATGGTATTCCCTGTAGTAACCTACGGATGTGAGAGCTGGACCTTAGGGAAGGCTGAGCGAAGGAAGATCGATGCTTTTGAGCTGTGGTGTTGGAGGAAAGTTCTGAGAGTGCCTTGGACTGCGAGAAGATCCAACCAGTCAATCCTCCAGGAAATAAAGCCCGACTGCTCACTGGAGGGAAAGATACTAGAGACAAAGTTGAAGTACTTTGGCCACATCATGAGGAGACAGGAAAGCCTAGAGAAGACAATTATGCTGGGGAAAGTGGAAGGCAAAGGAAGAGGGGCCGACCAAGGGCAAGATGGATGGATGGCATCCTTGAAGTGACTGGACTGACCTTGAGGGAGCTGGGGGTGGTAACGGCCGACAGGGAGCTCTGGCGTGGGCTGGTCCATGAGGTCACGAAGAGTCGGAGACGACTGAACGAATGAACAACAACATCTGCATTTTATGATCGGGGGTTGGCATATTCTACTTCCGACTTCAACAGCCTCCTGACAAAAGCCAAACACGTCTGTCTTTCAATAGAAGCCATAATAAAATCCCTGCAGAGAAAGTCTTGAATACTAAGTTGAAGGCACTAAGACAGCCTGTCTCTCCAACCAGACCCAATGTTCAGGGGCGCAGATGCTCTGCTGGGGCTTCCCAGGGGGACCAGGCAATGGGATGGACACAAAAAGCTTTGTTGAGCAGCAAACTGTTTTGGGAAAGTAAGAATAGTTTGGAGGGACGCACAAAAGAGGGATGAAGACACCCACCCTTTGCAGGAAGTGCCTTAAATCAAATAAGAAGGGGGGGGGGGGTGAGAGGAAATGGCAAAGGGATGTTTTCCTAAAGGCGAGCAGGAATCTCTTCTCTGCCTCCCAGCCACAGCCAAGACTCTGGTGAATGATTGATTCCCAGAGGAAGAAAACAGTTTTGATTAAGTCAACAGGCAATGGCTAGTCTTTGGGGTAAAAAAACATGGAAATGAACCCAAGTGTTTTGCTTCTTTCCTCTTATTCTTAGCAGATCCAAAAGCACCACCACCACTTTAGCAGCAATCAAGGCGCAGATGCTGAAAATCACAGCTTGCTCCATCTAAAAGGGCAGCCAGATTGAAATGCTCTGGAAAGAGAGCCCCGTAAATTGCCTCGTGGAAGACAAAAGCAAACCCGCTTGGCTGTTGGAAGGATTGGAGGAAGGGATCCGGGCGGAGGGGGCTCGGAAAGTTGCTGCTTTTCAACAGATGCCTCTCCAAACTCTCCAAAAGAACAGAAAGGCGTTAAGGCAGCAAACTCCAGGGCAAAGTTGAACACTCCCTGGCGCGCTCTTGCGGGATTTCCGGACTCAGGACCTTCCCCTTTCTCTCCTTGTCTGCCCCAAAAAAAAAAAAAAAAAAGCCATGACCCTATCCCATTTTCCCCCACCATTGCCGGACTTCCCCTGTTGCGCGCACTGGGCTCCCCACTCACCTCCTCCTGCCTCCAAGGCATCCTCCTCGGCCGCTATGCCAGGCAAGCAAGCAGGCAGGCAGACTCACTCCCTCCCGGGGACTCTCGCACCCCGCCTCGGCTTCTTCCCGGACCCGCAAGACCCTCCTCCTCCTCTTCCAAGCAGAGCCCGAGCAGCCATCCGTCCCGCCCATCGGGGATCCCACCAACAGCAAAGGCGCCGCCCCCCTCCCTTCCCGGCCACAATGGTTCCTTCCCCGCCGGGAACCAGGTTTAGAGAAAGGGCAGAACCCAAGAGGCACGGGGGGGGGGGGGGGGGAGAGGGAGAGAAGGAGAGAGAGAGAGAGAGAGGAGAGGGAAGGGAGGAAAGGAAAGAAGAAAGAGAGAAAGGAGGAAAGAAGGAAAGAGAGAGAGGAAGGAAAGAAAGAGAAAGGAAGGAAGGAAAGAAAGAAAGAATGTGTGAGAGAGAGGAAAGAGAAAGAAAGGAAGGAAAGAAGGAAAAGGAAGAAAGAGAGAGGAAGGAAGGAATTAAAGGAAAGAAAGGAAGAAAGGGAAAAAGAGAATGCGAGAGAAAGGAAGGAAGGAGGGAAAGAATGAGAGAGAGGAAGAAAGGAGGGAATGGGAAGAAAGAAAGAGAATGAGAGAGGAAGGAAGGAAAGAGGAAGAGAGGAAGGAAGGGAAGGAAGAAAAATGAGAGGAAGGAAAGAAGGAAGGGGAAGAGAGACAGGGAAAGGAAAGAAAGAGAAAGAAAGGAGGGAAAGGAAGGAAAGAGAAGGAAGGAGGGGAGGGAAAGGAAGGAGGGGAGGGAAAGGAAGGAGGAAAATGAAGGAAGGAAAGAATGCAAAAAAGTGAAGGAAAAGGAAGAGAAAGAAAAGAAAGAGAAATGAAGGAAGGAATTAAGGAAGGAAAGAAAGCAAGAAAGAGAAATGAAGGAAAGGGAAAAGAGAAAGAAAAGAAAGAGAAATGAAGGAAGGAATTAAGGAAGGGAAGAAAGAGAAGATGAGATTACATAGCTGTGACCTATTCTCAGGCTCCATCTACACCGCCATATCATGCAGTTTAGCTGCACCAGCTAGCTCAGGTATGAGCAAACGTCAGCTCTCCAAGTGTTTTGGACTTCAACGTCCACAATTCCTAAAAACTGGTAGGCTGTTAGGGATTGTGGGAGTTGAAATTCAAAACACCTGGAGGGCCCAAGTTTGCCCATAGAGATATCATATATGACAGTGTAGATTCATATAGTGGAGTTAAACTAGATTATGAAGCTACATTATATAGCTTCAGGCCCCATCTGCACTGCCATATAATCCAGATTATCAATTTAGATAATCTGGATTATTTACTTTGAACTAGATTATATGAGTCTACATAATCCAGTTCAAATCAGATAATCTGGATTCTATATGGCAGTGTGGATGGGGCTGCAGAGTGTCAGTCCCCTTGATTTCAGCAGGGCTTACTCTTAAAAAAAAACCTAGCCCAGTATTTTTGCCATGACAACTAAATGGATCAGTACAACCCAACAGGGAGCTCTAGCATGGGCTAGTCCATGAGGTCATTACGAGTCGGAAGCGACTGAACAAATAAACAATAACAACAATATTAATCTGAAATATCAGAATACAGAGGAATCTTCTAGCACATTTATTATTTTTATTATTATATTTATTTACAGCTCACTTTATCTCTCCAGAAAGAGACTCACAGCTTAAAAGCATTAGCATAAAATTTAAATATACAAATATTTAAAATATTTTGTATATATACAAATATGTACAAAAACATTGAAACAATTCAATATAAGCAGTATTTTAAAAAATCACAGTTAAAATCCATTAAAACATATTTAAAGTTAAAACCACAGCAACCCCTTGGGTACTGAGGATGGTTCTACGCACCATCCAGTTTGGAACTGGGTTAAAACAAACTGGTTTTGCTGTGTAGCACCTGCACACTCCAAGAGTTGGTTGGATGTTGGGACAATGGCCATAGTATGCGCTGATTGCAGATTGGAACTGAACCGAGGAACCACACAGAAGCCCAAAATTGTGCGGCTGTCTTTTCTCTTAGGACTTCATCACACTTACCAATTTAAGCTGCCAGCCATCTGAGGAACAGATGGGCACACAGCCCATCACACAACCTCCCTCAACTTCCAGCGGCATGGAATCATCCTAGGATGCTTCCTCATCAACAAGGGGAGGCTCCATTGGAGCCAGCACACTTCTGCCTCGGTTGGGCAATGCTTTCCCCATGTGATGGGGGAAGCGACACAGCACAATGGAGTTGCCCTGTGTGCCTGGCGTTTTGCCACACTTGCTGGCAAAACGACATGAGCTGAGGGGCATTGCAGACAGAGTATATTAATGTTTCCAGCCCTTGATGGGAAAAACTTTAATCAGTTGCAGTGCATTTTTTGTTTGTTCAGTCTTTCTGGTGAGTTTTTTAAACATGCTTTTTTCTAGCTTGATCTGCAATACAGCACACATTGGGGGCATACGTTAATGGACCCCTGCCTTCCAGCTGAATTGTAGTGTCTGAGTAGATCCTCCATAAGTGTAGTTGGTAGCATATCCTTTCATAGGGCCCTTCCAGACAGAGGAATATAATATCAGGTTTTCTGTTTATCCCAGATTATCTGGCAGTGAGGACTCATATAATCCAGTGTAAAGCAGAAAACCTGGGATCAGATCCTGGAATATAACGCCCGTCTGGAAAGGCCCATAGACTCTACTTCTGAGAAATACATCTAAGGAAGAAGGTTTAAGTCCACCAAAGTTTATGCTACCAACTTCCCTCTCTCAGGGTGCATCTGCTGTGCAGAATTAATGAAGTTTGACATTACTTGAACTGCAGTGACTCAATGCTATGGATTTCTGGAAGTTGTAGTTTGGTGAGGCATTAGTACTCTTTGGCAGATAAGGTTAAAGAACCCTGTAAAACATCAACTTCTGTCATTGAGTCATAGAAAAAAAATTTGTGTCAGGAGCGATTTGAGAAACTGCAGGACGCTTCTGGTGTGAGAGAATTGGCCATCTGCAAAGACGTATTACCATCCTGTGGGAAGCTTATTTCATGTCCCTGCATGAGAAGCTGGAGCTGACAGACGGGAGCTCTCCCTGCTTCCCGGATTCGAACCACCGACCTTTTGATCAGCAGCTCTGCTGGCACAAGGGTTTAACTCATTGCACCACCGGGGACTCCATTAAAGTGGTGTCAAGCTGCTTTCACTCTACAGGGTAGATGCATTCAGAGTCTCAAAGGGCCTGAAAAATCCCACTTTTAACAATGTTACCTCTGTACTATTGTGATGCAAATACAAAACAAGATTTTATGGTGTCCCAAAGGCTGAGTAGGTTGTGACATAAGCTCTCGTGAACTTTTGATCTTGTATCCATTTTCTGGAACTCCAATGTGCTGATATTTGCATTGCAACCAGGCTGTGTTTCTGGCAGTAAGCTCTACTAAGCTTAGCAAGGCGTACTTCTTGGTAGACATGTCAAGAGTCATGCTATTTGTTCATTCTAGTTGTATCAAGAATCGTCGTGCTTTGATTTTGAAACAAATTGGTTTGGGAGAGCAAACACATTCTGGAGAGTGTGACATCTTCCCTCCGGCCTTTGGAAGTGGGACAAGTGGCTCTGGATGAAAACTCCATGTCCAGGTGGAGTTAACTAGCTAATACATCTACCAACCACAGTTGGCAGCCTCTCCTTGGCCTGGCCTTCTATTGAAGGGCAGATTTGCAACTACTGCTGTGGAATGTTTGCAGGCTAAAGACTTGGATGGCCATAAAAAATCCCTTTCCAGCACTGTTCCCAGTGACATCATGCAACTCTTCCTTCAACCCAACAATGCACCCAGAGGGTTTGTAGGAGCTGGAGACAATTCAGGTTGAGAAATGCCTCTTGCAAACTTTGCATAGATTTGCTGCCAAGGGCAGGCTGCTGTCGGAGAACAACAAATAGTCAGCATGAGTCAGCTTCCTATCTCTGACATCAGCAAAAGTAGAGTTAAGCATTAAAAAGAAGATACAATAATGACATGCATTGAAAAATCCAGCCTAAGAAGGAAAGCTTTCCTTCTTGGTTCTTCAGTCCAAATCTGGGACTCCAAACAGGAAAAGGAAGCCTGCAAGTTCCTCTCGCTTGGAAATACAGCTGTATTTATTTTCTCCAGAGAGTGAGAAGGAGAGAGACTAGAGGCCTATTTAGTATACATATTGGGGCCCCTTTGAAGGAAGGCGCCTACGACTCAGGAGGCCAGCCATTCAATAGCATTTATTTACAGGAAAAATAGGTTGGCAGACGTTCATCTCCTTGAAGTCTTTGCAATCTAAGGACTCACAAGAGGCCCAGTTTAAATCCTCTGTAAGTTAAGGGGCTGGGTTTGTCACAGCCTTGGGTGGCCTTACATAGGAAACTTTTCAGTACTCATTCATCTTATTATTCATCTGGCCCTCATGTCACCAGCACACTTTGCTCTGAACATGCAAAAAATGTGATAATGTCTACAGATGCTTGAGTTGATCCCTTTCATATGTGTTAGAAATGTATTATACAAAAATTCCAGATCTATGTGAAAATAAAAGTAAAGGTTTTTCCTTGACATTAAATATAGTCGTGTCCAACTCTGGGGGTGGTGGTGCTCATCTCCATTTCTAAACTGAAGAGCTAGTGTTGTCTGTAGACACCTCCAAGATCACGTGGCTGGCATGACTCCATGGAGTGTCATTACCCTCCCGCCGAAGCGATACCTATTGATCTACTCACATTTGCATGTTTTCGAACTGCTACATTGGCAGAAGCTGGGGCTAACAGCGGGAGCTCACCCTGCTCCCCGGATTTGAACCACCGACCTTTCGGTCAGCAAGTTCAACAGCTCAGTGTTTTAACCACTGCGCCACTGGGGGCTCCAATCCAAATATAATCTGTTAAATATATACAGTAGACTCAGCTAACCAGGACTCAAGTAACCAGCAAAATAATTGAAGAAATAATGCTTTAAATTTAAATTAAAATAATTTTTATAATTCTGTAAAACCAGTTTTATAATACAGTAAAATTGTATTACATTGTCATTATTTGTTTTTAATTATTGTATTTCAATATCAACTCAATATAGAATTTATGGTACGATACAGCATGGGGTATAATTAGGCCTATTTTTTATAAGTAACTCCCAAGCTA